TGAGCAAGGATCTAGTGGCAAAGGCAAGCAAGTGGTTGTGTGCAATAACTATGATGAATATGTCAAGCTCAAGAACATAAATGAGAAGCTCATGAAAGATCTTGAAGAGATAAAGAGCCACAACATCATTGTGCTAGAAACCCTTGATCATGATGAAGAGTTGATCCTTGAGAATGAGAAGCTCAAAGAAGAGAACAAGAGGCTAAAGGAAGAAAAGAACAATGATGTTCTCAAGGAAGAGAACAAAAAGCTCAAGATGGAGAAAGAACATCTCAAGGTTGGATTGAGCAAGTTTGCAAGAGGCAAGCATCTTCAAAGTGAGCTTCTAATGAACACCGTCATGAAGATGGATAGAAATGACATTGGATATATGGCACATATAGAGAAGAAGAAGGCTCAAGTTCAACAACAACAATCAAAGCCAAAGCCAAAGAGATGTTTTAAGTGTGGACAAGAAGGTCACTTTGCTCATGAATGCCAAACTCCACCTCCACAACCCTTGCCCAAGCATGCTAGACCCTTTGCCTTCAATGCTCACTACATGCTTAGAAAGGATTCTAATGGAAAGATGAAAGTCATGTTCTTAGGACCCCCGAACAAGAATAGACCTAAGAAGATTTGGGTGGCTAAGTCACTTGTTGAGAAGGTGAAGGGCCCTCAACAAGTTTAGGTTCCTAAAGCTTGAATCTCTTGTGTGTAGGTGAACTATAAGACCGGTGGAAGTCATTGGGTTATTGATAGTGGTTGCACTCAACATATGACCGGTGATCCTCGTATGTTCACCTCACTAGATGAAGAGGTAGATGGACAAGAGAAAATTACATTTAGAGATAACTCAAAGGGCAAGGTTAAAGGATTGGGCAAAGTGGCAATATCAAATGATCATTCCATCTCCAATGTGCTTTATGTTGCTTCATTAAGTTTCAACTTGCTATCTGTTGAACAATTGTGTGATCTTGGCTTCCAATGCTTGTTCACCGAGAATGAGGTTGTTGTATACAAGGTAGATGACAATCAAGTGATATTCAATGGATTTAGATACAACAACTTATATCTAGTGGACTTCACCTCCAAAGATGCAAATTTGAAGACTTGTCTATTCACCAAAACAACACTTGGGTGGCTATGGCATAGAAGACTTGCTCATGTCGGGATGAGCTCACTCAAAAAACTTATGAAGAATGATTTGGTGAGAGGATTGAAGGATATGAAGTTTGAAAAGGGCAAGCTTTGTAGTGCATGTCAAGCCGGCAAGCAAGTTGCAAATACTCATCCAACCAAAGCTTTCATGTCAACCACAAGAGTGCTAGAACTCCTTCACATGGATTTATTTGGACCAACAACATACAAGAGTTTGGAAGAGAATCTCTATTGTCTTGTGATTGTTGATGACTATTCAAGGTATACATGGGTATTCTTTCTTCATGACAAATCCGAAGTTGCATCTTGCTTCAAGAAGTTTGCCAAGAGCTCAAAATGAATTTGAAGTGAAGCTCATGAAGATAAGAAGTGACAACGGAAAAGAATTTGACAACACAAACATTGAAGCTTATTGTGATGAAGTTGGGATCAAGCATGAAGTCTCCGCAACTTATACTCCTCAACAAAATGGTGTAGTTGAGAGAAAGAACCGGACTTTGATCACTCTTGCAAGGACAATGCTAGATGAGTACAACACACCCGAAGCTCTATGGGCGGAAGCAATCAATACCGTATGCTATGCATCCAACCGTCTATTCCTTCAAAAGTTCCTTGGCAAGACCTTATGAGTTGCTCAATGGGAAGAAGCCGGACGTCTTTCTTTAGGGTGTTTGGTTGCAAATGCTACATCTAAAAGAAGCGGCAACACCTAGGGAAGTTTCAAAGGCGTTGTGATATTGGTTTTCTTGTTGGTTACTCATCAAAATCCAAAGCATATAGAGTATTTAATCATGCCACCGGCTTGGTTGAAGAAACATATGATGTGGAATTTGATGAATCTAACGGCTCCCAAGGAGCACATGAGAATCTTGATGATGTAGGTGATGAACCATTGAGGGAGGCCATGAAGAATATTCCGGTGGAAGACATCAAGCCTAAAGATGATAAAGATGATGTACAAGTCATCAATCAACCTTCTTCATCAAGTGTGCCACAAGATGGTGAAAAAGATGGGAGTGAAGATACTCATATCTCCCATGAGCAAATGGTGGTACAAGCACAAGATGTTGATGCTCCGCAACCTCCCCTTAAGTGGTCAATAGAAGAAATACACCTCTCCTACAAGATCATCCACAAGATCTCATCATAGGGAGTCCATCAAAAGGAGTGATGACTAGATCTCAAAAACTTGCTTCATTTATTGCTCATCACTCTTTTGTCTCTTGCTATGAGCCTACCAAGGTAGAAGAAGCTCTTAAAGATCCAGATTGGATCAATGCCATGCATGAAGAGTTGAACAACTTTACAATCTTCATCATCTTCTTCTTCATTTTCACTTGAGGAGCTTAGCTTGAGCTTGTCTCAACTTGCTTGTCCTTCATCTTTTTTTTCTCACTATATGCGAGAGCTTTGCCTTTGTTTGATGACGAGGCTTCTTCTTGACCATCTTCCGTGACATTTGAAATGCCACTATCTTGCCAATGACTATGGACAGGGTCATGGTGCTCAAGTCCTCCATGTTATAAAGGATGGTGATGATGCTTGCATATTTCTTTTGTGGTAGCACGAAAATGATCTTCCTCACGATGTCCGCATCATCTAGCTTCGTTAATCCTATTGGATGGAGCTCATTGATAATTAGATTCAAACGAGAATACATATCACGAACAAGCTCATCATCATTCATTTTAAATGAATCATAATTTTATCTAGCTAGACAATATTTTTCTCACGGACATTAGTTGTGTCGTCATGGAGCTCTTGGAGTTTTAACCAAATTTCATGTGCCGTATTTAAAGTGGACACTTGGTTAAACACATCCATGCTAAAATATTCAAACAAACAATTTTTAGCTCTAGCAGTGAAATAAATTTCTTTTTCTTCACACTTTGTGGGTTTATCGGGATTCTTAATGGGTTTCATCCCATCACGAGTGACTCTCCAAACACCTAAATCTACAGCCTCAAGGTGATAAGCCATTCTAGCTTTATAGTAGAAGTTAGTGCCGTCAAAGTGCAAAGGCCTAGAGGTATCCATCCCAACCACTCTAAATAGCGTCGACTCAACGGCAGTGAAGTCAAATGTCCAAATTGAGCCAACCTGACTCTGATACCAATTAAAAGGGAATGTGACACCTAAAAGGAGGGTGAATTAGGCAAGGTAACGTGCAGTGAGTTGTTGATTTTCCTTCCCCCTATTTGATAGGCAAGTGTGGGGTTCGACCACTTTATTTACCCTCCACTTGCCATCACTCTGTCTCTTTTGTGCATTTAACCTCCACATACAACCGTTTTTGCATATCGCGTGGTATCTCAACTCCTGATCTGAATAAGTGACGTTGTATGGCCTATGGTGATCCACAACATAGTCCTGAAGAAAGAGCTTCATCTCTGACATTGTATTGAATATCATCCCCTTACTAAGGATTTTTTCTCATGGTCATACAATGATTTCCTACACATCTGAAGTCCGATATCACAAACTGCCATATCCGTCATGCTGACATCTCTATAGTTCGGAACGCCCCTAAAAGGTACGTTCATCGACCTTAGTTGCTCAAGCTCTGTCGCTGTGTAAGGTGGTGGTGGAACATACTGCTGTGCTTCGCTAATTCTGCCCCATGAATCATAGGGGGTATCATCTACTGGCAAATCTGTGACTAGTCTACCCTGAGCCGGCATAGCATGTAAAACCTCAGTTGGTACTGGTAATGACATACCATGGACAGGTACTGACATGGCATCAACCGGTGTGGGCATAGCATGTCTATCTCCCTAGTCATCATCTAAATCATCTGAATCACTGCTAACTACATCACCGATCCTGTCCTCCTCCTCCTGCTCCTCCTCTTCCCGTTCGAAATCGTTCACATCGAAATCATTGCTTATACAGCCTACTTGACTTGAATGAAACCGTACCTGTGTCAACTGACCACCCAAATCCATAGTACCCATAGTTGGTTCAACATGAACCCCACATTCTTGTTGAGTATCATCATCGAAGGACGGCCCCTCCCGGAGATCATGCATCCTGTACCCATTCTCCACAACGACCTCAGCCAAGGCCACATTAGAATCTTGGATTACCCTATTGTAGCGGGACTAGTGAGCATGGTCCCGCAAGGGCATTAGCACGTAGTGTGCCCTAGTCTTTCCACTATCAAACTTTCCCTTCAGTGTATAATCACCGCCAAACTTTCCATTCAAACGGCCACAAAGATCGCTGAAGCTAGGAGGTTCATCAAACCATTCTAATTCTTCTTCCATATCCTCAAACATACCATCTTCTCTCCTAACACTTCCTCCGTAGAAAACTCTAACACAACAATCCGATCGCTGAAGCTAGGAGGTTCATCAAACCATTCCAATTCTTCTTCCATATCCTCAAACATACCATCTTCTCTCCTAACACTTCCTCCGTAGAAAACTCTAACACAACAATCCATCTACAAAACCATTTCAGAAACTTCATCAGGTCATCGAAATCGTCGTGCGTACTAACTAACTGACTACACCTATACTAACTACACCTATACCAACTAACTATACTAACTAATCTAATATTAATACCTATACCAACAATTCTAACTAACTATACTAACTACACTAAACACACTAATATTAATACCTATACTTACTATACTAAGTAACTTTACTAACTATACATATCTAGCTAACTGTAAAAATACATAACTTATATTTATTAACTTCACTAAATATCTTTACTAACTAATTATATAAATCTCTATCCAGTCAAACTAAATTTGAATCCTAACCCTAGCAAAAAATTTTGACAGAGATGCAGAAGAGCATTACCTCGACAAAGATTATGGGTCACCACAATCCACCAATGGAAAGGAGATGGCCGCCGACGGCAATGGCCGGCCGACAGCGGCCTACTTCTGGAGGGCGGCGGCAATGGCCGACCGACCAGCGACAATCCCCCGTTCTAGAGGACGACGATGGGCAGCGTGGCAATGTCCTTCACAGCTCGAGACAATACGGAGAGATGGAGGGGCGGCGATGAGGACGGGCGGCGCGCGACAGTGGGGAGATGGAGGGGCGGCGACGGCAATAAGGGAGGCAATGAGACAGGGGGAGATGGAGATGGAGCGAGGGAGGACGGGCACTGGCGTGGGTCGCGGGCGGGCGAAGCCTTATGTGGGCGGTAGCAATGGGCGAGAGTCGCGGCAGCGCTTTTCTCGTCTAAGGACGGAGAGCAGTGAGAGAGAGGAACAAGGGGTGCAAGGCGCCGTGATGCATGGCAGTGGCCGTTGGCCACCCGTGGCGGGTGGCGCTAGCAGACACCCACGTCGGCCGATCGCCCTGACGTTGGTTGCCCCTACCTGCGCCCGCTATGCATGGCGCGGCAGCGTGAATTAGCCGCGCCGTGCAAAAAGGCGCGTCCAAAAGTGTTAGTTTTGAAGAAAAAAATAAACAGTGACAGTTTTAAAAAAAGTGTTAAAAAAATTCTTTGGATGCAGGTGTCTTTCAAAGTGTACAAGACCCTCAAATGATTCTCCAGTTCTTTTCCACCTTCGTAAGACTATCCTAAAAATGAGCCTCATTTTCCTAATAAATTTGGGATAATGTCTTAGAACCTAAATACATATTATGAATTATTTGCTGCCAAGTCCCATCTATTTACTAAGAAGTGCAGTGTTTTTAATATCCATGTCATGAATTCCTAAACCTCCTCCTAACAAAGTATGCTCTGTTTGGCAAAGTTGATGATAGGCAGATCTCCTGACATTTTCGTTCAAAAAAAATCTGTTCTTGAGATCTTTGCCTCTGGTAATTTGAGTTTGAATAAAGCAAAATAATAACACACAGAACAGTACAAAACAGCTAAAGCATTGGGTCCTTAATCCATAACAAAATTATACTCAAGAAGACATTCAGATAGAATTCCTCGGTTCCATATAAACCAAAATGGAAGTCTTAATAATTAACATCTCAAATTTTCTTGAGAAGCACTTGAGCAGCAACATCAAGAAATTAGGTGCCCAGCTCAACTCCGCAGGATTTGACACTCTGCCTTGTGAGCACAATCAGAGCTGATCTTAGATTTGCAAATGGGAATAGTTCATTGGAACCACAGAGAGCACAAACATTGAGCCACAGCAGAATTATTTACTTCACCGACACATTTAACATCTCACATCGGCCATGGCAGTTGGATATGAACATAGGTATAATGCAGAATACAGCCAAAGTGTGAAGCAGGCTGCAGGCAGTGAAACATGACAAAAGTGCAATCGGCTGAAAGTAAAACTAATATAGTATTCTTCACCAATGCAGCAAATTGGAAGTTACAATATATTTCTGTTTTGAATTTGCAGGTGCTTTGAGATCCTGCTGCTTTCAGACAACATGCATATGGAAAATATCATGCATAATACTGGACTTGAAAAATGCTCAGATGAGAATTTTACAATAATGTTTAAAAGATTTTGTGAAATATTTAAGCACACCAATTTGAAAAACCCACGAGAACGGGAAAAAGTAGTTCACAAAAACTTTCTTAGTTATTTATCAATAGACGAGAACCATATGATGGCAGGATGAAGTCAAATGCAATCTGGTTGGTACTTTCCACCCTCAATTGACAAACATCATCCATCTAAAAAAATCGTAGCAGTTTTAGCCATCTCCTTTTGTACTACTGTAAATATACTCCCTTCCCAAAAGCAGTCTTGATATTGTACCGTGCCAAAAGGTCCTATCTTAATAGGTCTAGAAAGTAGAACCCACAAGCTTCATCAAAGAACAGATGGAGCGCACGATCAAAGAACAGATAGATGTAGAACTAGATTATTTAGGACTAGCAAATGCTTTGACAAATGACCTCAAAAAAAATGCTTTGACAAATTTCATGGATGTGTAGATTTAACTAAATGACTTGCACATTATAATAAAATTGTTAGGTGTCATGATGAAGCTGATACCTGTTAAGATTCTCCCCCCTTGGAGAAATGCTAACAAGATGCTGTGTAGAGAACAGGCAGGCCTGGTTGCTGAGCTCCATGCAATCATGGACAATACCTCAATTTCCACTAAAAGGTTGATAGGTTCCTGGAAAACATGAAAATAGAATTGCACACTCCCTTCGCAGGCATTATCCTGTTCAGGTTCAAAGGGACTTTCTCAGCCCATCTCACAACAGTCCAGGCTAAGAGGCTCTCAGACTGTTGAGAACACAGGCACCCCTGGTGCAATTTTCATCACTAACAATCCCATTGTGATACAAAGACGACTTAAAGCATAAAGATAATGCTAGGGAGCACAATACAGAGTTTTTTATTACAATACATAATGGCATTCACAAACTGAAGGTAAGCAACACCAGCTTTATTGACATACTGCTTACCATCTCATTAGATAAGATGGTAGAGCTGCTGCTGATGAATGCCCTAGCCACTAGCCAGCACATCTGTGTCACTTGGAATGGATGGCTCTGAGGAAACCTACATGAATTTTGCAATTCTGAGTAAAAAGAGCTTCTATATTCAAAACTACAAAGAATGCAAAGCCTAATAAATTAATAGTTTGATGAAGTTCCATAAAGATACAAATAAGAGTTTCAGCAGAGAATAGAAAATGATATCACTAAAAATTGCATAATACAAATACTTTTTTAGGGTGGAAGCACTGTGTCCTGCATGAGATCTATATCTAATTAACAATGCAAAAATAGAAGAAGAAAAACATACATGGCTCAAAATTTATGATCATATACTTAAATTTTTTGAAACATTTCGCATATAAGATATGAGCGACATGGTTATTGATCCAAGAGAACTTCTAATTTCCAAAGCACTCATCACTCTGCAAATTCAGAAAAAAAAAATGCTGTGTCCATGCTAACTGACTAGCATGTATTATTACTGTGTACTGATGTATCAAGTCTGCTAAAGTTCATTTATATACTCTCTTATATATGTGAAGTTTGTTAAAAAAATTTAAATATTATCGCATGACTATATCACAGATTACTTCATGCTTCTTAAAAGATCATACATCTTCAGAACAGAACTTTCATGGATGAGCTCTTGCAAGGCAAACTCTACATGATAACAGACTGACCTTATTTCTGCGCTGCATAGCTTTCTGGTACATAGATCTCCCCTCCTGCTTCACCATGCTGTTCCCCACTAATTGTTTTCCTTGCAGCCAAAAATTCAGCACTCATAGCATTCATTCCTTGTATCACAGCTTCCTCTACTGTTCCATAACCATTTTCATCAGCATACTTCCTGATATCCTCTGTGATTTTCATTGAACAAAACTTGGGCCCACACATTGAGCAGAAATGTGCCACTTTGGCACCCTCAGAGGGCAATGTTTCATCATGGAAAGCCATAGCAGTTACTGGATCCAGAGACAAAGCAAATTGGTCAAGCCATCTAAACTCAAACCTTGCCTTGCTAAGTGCATCATCCCAAGCTTGTGCATAGGGATGACCCTTTGCCAAATCAGCAGCATGAGCAGAAATTTTGTAGGATATTACACCGGTCTTGACATCATCACGATTAGGCAACCCAAGATGCTCCTTTGGTGTTACATAGCAAAGAAGCGCAGTGCCAAGAGCTCCAATGTTGGCAGCACCAATGGCTGAGGTGATGTGATCATAACCAGGTGCAATATCAGTTGTCAAAGGACCCAATGTATAGAAAGGCGCTTCATTACACCACTCCAGCTGTTTCTCCATGTTTTCAGGAATTTTATGTATTGGGATGTGACCTGGGCCTTCGTTCATCACCTAAAAGTCGATACATATCAGGGAGATTGGTCTAAAGTGAGTTACAAACCGAATAAAAAGAAAGAAACTTAAAAATGGATATCATTTAGAGACCATCATCTATAAATCAAGGGTTCCAAACATAAAGTATATTGTTATATGTTGATCAAGACAAACTCTTGAAGGGTGTAAGTAACAATAGGCAATTCCTAGACAAGCTTATTAACAAAGGTAAACTGTTGTACTTTCAATACATATAATTTAAACATACTGCTACCAAACTAAGAGTAGATCACTGATTAGATGCTACAGAGCTAGACCTCATCTTTCGTGCTTGATATGCAATATGTATATCCAGCAATCATATTTGGTTATAGTGCAACAGAATAGCTTGTCAATCGTACATGGTTTAGTCAAACTCCCATTTTCAAACCCATAAGTTGCAAACTTGCAATATCTAATATTTTTCTGACCAGGTCTGCATATGCACTATCTTAAATCAATCATTTACCCTATGCATTTTGAAGTTAAAACCATCTTCGTATTTGGGCGTACCCAGTGCAGAGAGATCCCGCTTTGTGCGGGGTCTGGGGAAGGGTGTTAGTGGCAAGCCTTACCCTCGCATGTGCAATGCGAGGAGACCGCGACTCGAACCCGGGACCTTCCGGTCACAGGCGGTAAGACTCTACCGCTTGCACCAAGCCCGCCCTTCCATCTTCGTATTTAAGTATATATAATAAAAATAGGAATTTTATTCTCACCTGCACATCTTTCGCCCATGCTCGACGTGTTAGTTCACCTTGAGTCAGCAGTTCTGCAAACTGTGCACTATCATTCGCATCATAAATGGAACCAGGCCTCAAACCATCACCAATTGATAATGCCACATCATACTGATTGCATATGTCAAGAATGTCATCCCAATGTTCATATGCAAAGTTCTCCTTGTGATAAGTTAAGCACCATTTTGCATGAATTGAGCCACCACGTGAGACTATGCCCGTCATTCTCTTTGCTGTAAGAGGAATGTAACGAAGCAGGACACCAGCATGGATTGTGAAGTAATCAACGCCCTGCTCAGCTTGTTCAATCAAGGTATCCCTAAAGATTTCCCAGCTCAGATTTTCAGCAATGCCATTTACTTTCTCAAGTGCTTGGTAAATAGGAACAGTCCCAATAGGAACAGGAGAGTTGCGAATAATCCATTCCCGGGTCTCATGGATATGTCGCCCTGTTGAAAGGTCCATGACAGTATCAGCTCCCCACATCGTGGCCCACTGGAGCTTGTGAACTTCATCCTCAATGGAGCTCACAACAGCTGAATTCCCAATATTCGCATTCACCTTTACAAGGAAGTTTCTTCCAACAATCATGGGTTCCAATTCCAGGTGCCTCTTGTTGGAAGGAATTATGGCTCGTCCACGGGCAACTTCTGTCCGAACAAATTCAGGACTAAGGTTCTCACGGCTGGCACAGTATAATATCTCCTCTGTTATGATTCCCTGTTTAGCATAATACATTTGTGTGTACCGAGGACTGCCCAGCTTTTCCCTCCTATCAATCCATTCCTTCCTTATCTTTGGGAGTCCTGAAAAATATTTTGTATGCTTATTATAAACTGCATACTAGTATGTTAAGTTGTATGCTGTAGAGCAATAGAACTCAGCAACAGAGTGATGTCAACACTTCTAGGTTATTCTGGTTTATTAGTGCTTATTTTATTGTTTGATAATTGATACTATCGCATGTAGTTTTATAAGGAAATTCGTGTACCACAATTTGCAGGATATCTATAATTCATATTATCGCCCTTTTTCTGAAAACTAGGTTAACTAAAGATATGTGAACACAACTAAAAAGAATGCCAAAGCAATTGAAGACACAAAAATGAAGCAAGGCCAGTGAGTTACCAATCCTTGGGCTTATATTTTGAGGACCACTGGTGTCATATGTATCAAAGTGCTTCTGATCTCCAGTCAAATGGACTCTCCGGAATGGAACCTTGAGGACATGACCAGATTCCTCATGAATGATTTCACTGAATAGCATAACCCACAGACAAACATAAGCTATATTAGACTGTTAGCATATCCAAGAATAACCATAAGGTGAAACGAGAAAGGACATCATGCCTTGATTCTTTGGTACTCCTTGGAAAGCATTCTTCAAAAGATGGGAGTGGCAGAAATTCTGGAGCAGTTGGGTCGACTGTGTGCCTGTTTTGCTTGGGTTTTGATGGCTCTGCTATTGACTGGTCAGTCACCGAAGCAACCTTGGGGATCAAACAAGCGAAGCTAGCTTTCCTGTCTTGAGGGCATGCAATGCCACCAAAACCAGGTAACAGTGCAGTTTTCGGGAACTTCAGGGCGCTGCAGCTACTCTTCAAAGTCATTGCTGGTGAAAATGAGGGTTGCAGTGCAGCCATTTCCTGATCAAGGTACAAAATAGTCAGGCAACACATTGAAATAGGCTGGAATCTTATCGGGTTTTTTTTTGGAAATTGACGAAAACTGAACGACCGAGGACACCGAAATTCTGTTGCCCATGGAAGATTTCTAGCAGAACAGCAAAGAGCGCCATTTTTCCTTGGCCCATCACACTTACAGGCAGGCCCAGAAGCCCACATAGGCCCATGAAATAATATTATTAAAAAGATAGGACCTAAGAATAGGCCAGGAGATCACTAGGCCACCAGCCCA